CAAAAGACTGGGTGTCAGGCTTCATCTAGCTGCATCTTTACAGGCACTTTTCTGTTTCACAGGTTCGGAAACTTGAGGGATCCTTGAGGGAAGCTCAAGGGGATGCATTTCAGTTCCCAAGTCCCTGGCTCAGGAGCCAGCGTCCCGGGCTCAGGCCAGTCCTTCGTGCCCACGGTCAGGTTCAACCCCACCCTGGGGTAGCGGCTCACCCGCACTCCTCAAAGATGTCCGGGTAGTGTCTGAAGAGCACAGGCGGGTCCCGGTCCCCTCGCACCGGGGCGCGGGGCACCGCGCGGATCCCCGGCCTCCGGCCCCGCCGCCCCCCGGAGCAGGAGCGGTGGATCCACTGGTGCGCCTCCACCGCGAACTTCCTCTTGAAGCGCGTGCCGCACTCGGGGCAGGGGAAGGGCCGCTCGCCCGAGTGCATGCGCCGGTGGCTGACCAGCAGCGAGGGGTAGGTGAAACGGCGGCCACAGTCCGCACACACGTGGCGCCGCTGGCTGGCCTGAGCGTCCGCGCCGGGCGCCGGCGGCTGTGCACCTGCCGTCCGGTCCCAGGCAACCTTGGCTGGTGGCGGCTCTGCTCTCGCTGAGGCCTTGCTGATGGGAGGGTCGGGACTGTGGGTAACCAACTCCTCAGGCGCGTTTGCAGGTCCCTTGACCCCCGCTGCTTCCTGGGGTTCCTCCTCCTCCTCCTTCTTGTTGGGGACTTGTCCTGGGAAGCAGGAATTAAGGTCTATTTAGGTGCGGTCCTCGGGTGTTACATGGGAATAGGAACGGCTTCCTCACTTCCTAGGGTCTGTTGGGCAGGGTGGATGCGAAGATGGACGCTAAGCACTTAATACGTGCTCAGTGAGCAGGAGCTACTGTGAGCGGGGTTATCAATTTTGGGATGGGGGTGGGGAGAGGGCCAGACTGCTTTACAGAGGAGAAATGCTTGGTTTACTACAGATGGCGCTGCTGGGGGCCGGGAGCGGGGATGGCGAGGGGAACAAGAGCCCAGCTGTCCATTACTGGACATCTCTTGTTCCACATTGCCTCGGTCAGTGAGTATCAATGGGATGCCCAAGCCACTTCCGTTTTTAAAGGGCTGTACTTGTACCTGAGAGAGAGAGAGGAAGAGGGGGTGACACTGGACCTGTATGTAAGAGCCTTGGGCTCAGCTCTGGTCTCTGCATGTCCCAAGTCCTGAACGCGCAGTTTCGGGTCTCGCCCCCCCCCCCTTAGTGTCACACACCTCTAGGCTCTCTACTTCCTTGGGGACGCTGGATGCAAACCCTGCCCTGGCAAACCGCGGTTGGGGAGATGGGGGGGGCCAATCCCTCACCTCTCAGAGCCCCTCCCGGGCTCTGCCCCTCGTCGGGGTCCTGGGCGGCGGGGCTCCAAGCCTCACTCTCCCGTTCCATCCAAGAGATGAGGGCTGGTTTGGGGCCCGGGAATCCTGGGAGAGAACGGGGTGGGGAGGGGGAGGGATGTCACCGTGCTGGCCCGAGGCTGGCCTGGGAAGATGTCACACACACACACACCCCCCACCGGGGTGAGGGCACCTGCTCGGGTCTTATACTCAACCTGGAGAGGGTGTGCAATGCTGCAGACTGAATGGAGCGGATGCGGGATGGGAACGCTCCCGAGGGGGTACCCGAAGCCCTGGGAGTGGGAGGAGGCTGGTGCTGTTGGTGGAATAGCGCGGGGTTACAGCTCACGATCCGCTCCCCCTGTGAATCCCAGTGAACGGGGGTGGGGGGCTCGGACCCGGGGCCTCACCGAGCGCGCCCAGGTGGCCGTAGTTCTCCCGCATCACGTCCCGGTACAGGGCCCTCTGCGCGGGCCGCAGACACCCCCACTCCTCCGAGGAGAAGTACACGGCCACGTCCGCGAACCGCACGGCCCCAGGCTTCCCGCAACAGGGCCGGGTCTCCCCGGGTCTCAGCGCCAGGAGCGGGGCTGGGGGCGGCGCCATGGGGCCGAGCGGCGGCCGCCTCGTGCCCGGGGCCGCCGCCTCTCGGCTCCCGGGTCTCCGATTTCGTCGTCCACAGGAAGGACTGCGGGGGCCCGGGCCCCGCCCAGCCTCGGCGTCGGAACGCAGCCGGGACTGGGGAGCGAAGTAGCAGGGCTGGCTGCTGGGGATTCGGGGGTTCTGAGGGGGACAAATAAAACTCCTTGGTTGTTTATTCACTTCTTGGCCGCTTGGACAGACACCCGGGTTAAGGACCCGGAAGATGCCTTCAGAAAATATGGCGACAACCTGGCTTCAATTGCCATCCGCACCACGCCAGCACTCACCCCCTACCCCCGGAACATAGCAAACATGGCGCCTGTGTGGCTTCCCTGGCTTCATCGTCCCACTTGCCCTTAAATACAATGGCGACTCCTAAGAAGAGAGGGCGGTGGAGGGCCAGGGAAGCCGATGAGACCCTTTTGCCTTCAAGAAAGATGGACGAGCCCGTAGCTTCAAGGTCCTCGTAAACCCGCAAAGACGGCGGCAGATGATTGGTCTAACCACATGAAGAAGCTGGGCTGTGATTGGTCGCCGCCGGGCGGGGCCTTTAAAAGGACCCGGGGCCCTTCCGCCGCTCTTATTGATAGAACTAATGGAAGACTGCGGCGTCCCAGTGCTCTTGACTGTGACAACCTCGCAGCTCACGGGACCCCGCACCCGCGGCGCCACTCTGTCTCTGCGCCTGCGCAGCACGCGAAGACACGTGCTTTGTGGGGATAGTCATTGATTAGTATACATGGTTATTTTACAAACTAATACAGGGGTCGTCGCTGTGGCGCAGAGGGTCAAAGCCCAGCCTGCAGTGCCGGCATCCCATATGAGCGTGGGTTCAGGTCCCGGCTGTTCCTCTTCCAATCCAGCTCTCTGCTATGGCCTGGGAAAGCAGTAGAAGATGGCCTAAGTTCTTGGGCCCCTGCACCCATGTGGGAGACCTGGAAGAAGCTCCACGCTCCCGATCAGCTCAGCTCTGGCCATTGTGACCAATTGGGGAGTGAACCAATGGATGGGAGACCTCTCTCTGTCTCTCTCTGCCTCTCTCTGCCTCTCTTTCTCTCTCTGTGTAACTTTCAAATAAATAAATAAATCTTAATATATATATGTGTGTACACATATGTATACACACACACACACACACACACATGACTTACCACTTTCCTTGTTTGCAGGTATAACCCAGCGGTATTAGGTACATTCACGCCGTGTGAATTATCACTGACATCCATCTCCATCCAGCATCTTCATCTTCCCCAAAATGAGTCGTTCACTGAACCCTTAGTTCTTTCTTCCGAACTTTCATTTTTTAAATATTTATTTATTTGAAAGGCAGAGTGACAGAGAGAGAAAGAGAGATCTTCTTCCATCCGCTGGTTTATTCCTCAAATGGCTGCAGTAATTGGGGCTGGGCCAGGCGGGAGCCAGAAGGTCTCCCGTGGGTGGTGGGGACTCAGCCGGAACCAGAACCAGCGCTCTGGCATGGGATACAGTCGTGACCTCTCAGCACACAGCCAGCGAAGTCTGCTGATTTCACAGCACCAATAAAGGATGCCCTCGATGGCGTCTCAAATCAGTGTATCAAGAAATAATGACAGGCAGGGGTCTGGCGTTGTGACACAGCAGGTTAAGCCCACCTGCAACACCCGGAATCTGGGCTGCCTTTTTTTTTTTTTTTTTTTGACAGGCAGAGTGGACAGTGAGAAAGAGAGAGAGACAGAGAGAAAGGTCTTCCTTTGCCATTGGTTCACCCCCCGATGGCCGCCGCGGCCAGCACTTGGGCTGACCCAAAGCCAGGAGCCAGGTGCTTCTCCTGGTCTCCCATGGGGTGCAGGGCCCAAGCACCTGGGCCATCCTCCACTGCACTCCCTGGCCACAGCAGAGAGCTGGCCTGGAAGAGGGGCAACCGGGACAGAATCCGGCACCCCGACCGGGACTAG